TTTCCCCTTGTCCCTGCCCTCCCTTCATTTCCTCCTCCCCTCCCCCTTTACAAATACTTTATTTCCATTTTTTCATTTTTTTCTTTTCCTTTATTCCCTTTCCCCTACCCTTCTCACTTTCCCTACACCTTTAGCCCTTTTCTTCCTATTTCACATTGTTAATTATCTCATTAGGATCTTGTGTACTATTAGAGTTTTTCACACCAGAGAAACTATTCAGTATTTACACGTGTGACTTATTTATTTCACTTAGGAGTATATCCTCAAAATGTATCCATTTTCCTATGAATGAATCTAATTTCTTATTCTTTATGGCTGAGTAGTATTCCATTTTATAGAAAAACCACATCATCTTTATCCAGTCCTGGTTAGTTTCTAACCTAATTTTTTTTCACTATTTATTTATATTTTTAAGTTTACGCCAGTCTGAATTACTTTAAATTTCCTCAAAATTCCATGGTCCTTCTTTCTATAAGTGTTGTAGCTACTTTTCTTGTTTCTCAGTGAAATACCTGACACCCATGAGTTTGTAGAGTTTCAGTCCATAGTTTGCTGGCTCAAGGCAGGGTGGCATGGCAGAGGAGCATCGCAGATGAGAAATAGTTCATGTCAGAACAGGGAGGAGGCAGGCAGCAAGCCTCTCTTTCCCTTTTATCCTGTCCAGTCTACAAGCCTTTTGGATGGTGCCACCCACAACTAGAACAATGCTAACCCAATCAATAAACTAATTTAGTTATCACCCCCTTAATCCACATTCATGCACGCTAGATCCAGCCTCTTCTGTCAAGCCCCGCCTATGGGTGCACATATAGAAACAAGCCATAAATGTAAGGTTTTATGAGCATGCTGGGCATATTTGTACCCCTCTTCCTCAAGAAAACTGAGCTAATTTCTGCTCAATCTTAGGTCTAAGACTGCATATATTCCCTCTTCTGGGAAGTCTTTGATACTTTTGTGTGAGAGAAGTTTATATTCTTTTTGGGGGTTTTAGTACTTTTTATCTTCACATCATGTTAGATAATATTGTCTGTATTCCTTACTGTATCATAAGATAGCAAGGGCTGAGTCAGGATTATTATACATTAAACACAATTCTAAAATATGGTAAGTATTAAATAAAAAACATTGAATGCAAGTTAAAGAATGGTGTGTCTTAAGAATGTTTTAAGTGATTTTTCAGGGTTACAATCAGGGTTTTGGACTTATTATTTATTAATTTTTTTGTGGTGGGCTTTATTTTACATTTTAAACTCTGAAAATGTTTTGTTGTAGTCTAAACTACTTGAAAGAGAATTGAATCCATATTGGAAGGATGGTGGGACAGGTCTTCCATCAGAAGACTGTGGTGTATCATCAGTTACTAAAGGTACTCCTCTGTTTTGGTTGTGTACATACACATAGGCATTTCTTGTTTTTGGTACTGGGGACCTTGTGCTTGTGAGACAGGTGGTGGCACCACTGAGCTAAATTCCTGGCCCAATAGGCATTTCTTGTAATATGGTATTCCTAAGGGAATGACCCAAGTTTATCATTGATAAAGTATTTACAGTCTTTTTGTTATTAGTATTTGGGAGAAAATGGATTATATAGTTTTACACTTGTTTTTATATAATACTTTCCGATAAGAATTTGTCTTGTGCTGAGCATGGTGGCACACACCCATAATCCCAGCACTTAGGGCAAGGGATCACCTTGAGTTTAAGGCCAGCCTGAACTAAATTAAACCTTGGGCCTTCACCCTAAGCTACTTTTACCTTATTTTTATTTTTATTTTTATTTTATTATTTACTTTGAGTCAGAGTCTTGCTAAATTACTGAGCTGCCCAGACTTGAACTTGGGATCCTCCTGCCTTAGCCTCTCAGCATGAACCACCACACCTAGACTGAATTTCTGTTTCAAATATGATTTTGTGAGGATATAATAATTAAAAAATTTTTTTGCTTTGTAAAAGATACTGTGTCTATGAATTTCATGAAAATAGTAATGTATAAATAAAGATACAGTTTCATATCTTCATAAATTCCTACTTTGTCAGCAATCACAAAATTTGTATTGATCTTAGGAGAATACTGTTATTTTCCAGCAGATGGAGACAAAATATATGTGTCACATAAGCATATTTGTTGCATTAAAAGTTTACTGAATTATGATTATTAATCCATTATACCATAAAAATATTGTAAATTATGATGCCATCTTTCATTTTAGCGATTTATCAGTAGGGTATTCTCTAGCTCTTTATTAATAATCCAATTTCATTTTTGATAAAATTTTTTATATCAATCCCTAGAACAACCTCATTGGCTCCTTTATAATTACATCACTGAAGTTATTAGTAATTATAAGTTTACTTTTTGCAGAAATGTATCTCTGCTGGGTTAAGTTTTAGTAACTGTTATCATACAAGGTTCTCTTTGAAATATAGTCTTATAGAAATTTATGGGTTAGGGGAATAGTAAGTTAGACAAATTTTATGATCTGTACTTCTCCAATTTCTAATGTCAAGTCAGTCAGTAAACAGAATTGACAGACCCAGTCCTTGAGTTGTTGGCATGGAGTCAGCAGGTTCTTAAACCTGAGGGTAGACTTACCTGGAGTTGGAGTTCTACCTTAGGCAGTATCTGTTATTTGGTAGAAATAGCAGACTCCAAGACCTTTTAGAGAGTCTCTATTCACATACTTTCACTACTTCCCTTTCCCATGTTACATTTATTTAGAAGGAAGGAAAATGACAGTTCTGTCAGAGGCTCAGTTCTTGAATTGAAATTAAGTTTTAAAATGATCTGTAGGTTTTATTGCATGTATAGCTAGTGTTAGCCATTCTGTTTAGACCAACGGTAGGAATGAAACAGGCACCTAAAATCTTAAGAAGGTGAAGGTGACAGTGTTGTCAGGTTTTGGAATCAGTCTACTTTGGATTAAAGTTTGTTATTTCTACTTTTAAAATATGTGATTTTTGAGAAAGATTTGTGGTTTTGGGAAAGTTTCCTGACTTTCTGAGCCCACTCTATTCATTTGTAGTAGGTGATGATGATAGTCTGTCTGTCCATCCATCTTTCTATCCCTCCTTCCCTCTCTCCCTCTCTCCCTGTCTCTTCCTTCTTTTTTCCTTCTCTTCTTTCCTCCCTCCCTCCTTTCCTTTCTTCCTCCCTTCCTTCCTCCTCCTTTTCTTTCTCCCCTCTTCCTTCTTCTCTCCCTCCCCTCCTTCTCCCCCACTCCTGTTTTTTGAGATAGAGTCTTTCTAAGTTCCGCAGGCTGGGCTTGAACTTGTAGTCTTCCTGCCTCAGTCTCCCAGAGTGTTAGGATTATAGGTGTGCACCACTATGCCTGGCAGTTGTTCTCTTAAATAGTTATTGAGAAGGTTAAAGTAGGAGATCTTTTCACACAGGACCTGGTATATAGTGAGTACGCAGTGATAGTGATGTCAAATTCTTGTTCTGTGATTTAATGTTTTGGAAAGCTTTATCAAGAGTTTCTTGGTAGTATCTGACATACCATATTTTCAGTAATTAATTCATTAATCTTAATTTTTTTTCTTAGGGAAAACTAAGTGGAACAACCATTTCCAGAGCTCAGACAAAATTATTTAAAATCATATTTTGGTAATATGTTTGATATCCTTCTGTACTCACTCTTTTAAATTGAAATTTTCTTCAAGATAGTATTATTGTTTCCTTCTTTATAGTGACAAAGTTTTATAGTCTGCACATTATAGGTACCCAAATATTTAGAATTTGAAGTATGCTTATATTTTTGTATATTCAAATAAAATATTCAGTTTTATACTTTGGAAGTTAGAAAAAATATATATATTAACTTTATGATAGTCATATAAAAAGTAACCTTACATTTCTTCTGTTTGGAATTTAGTCTCAGGAATAGAGGATGGTGGATTAAGCTGGCTAAGAAAATCTTACCAAAGAATGAAAGAACAAGCTGAAAAACAAAATAGAAAATTTGAGGATATTGTAGCCGAAAGATATGGAGTAAGTATCTGCATAAGGACATATTATTTTTTTAGTTATATGAAAAATTAAGTGTCTTTAACTTTGTTTTGTGCCATGAAACACTTTTGAATTGAACTGATAGTAAATCTTTTATATTTATACTGTTAAAGTCATTTATTTTTTTTTATGTAGCATGTTTGTATTGACATAGTGCATGCAAAAATAAAATGTGTGTGTATTAATATAAAAATAACATTTTCTTATTTTAAGGAAATTTAAATAATGTTCCTACATTACCCTCCTTAGTGCACTTCTGGAGATGCCATTCTTAAAAGTTTGGTATGTTCCAGAGGCTGTATATTGTAGTTTTGGCATTTTCCAAAGTTGTTTTTTTAAATTATTATTTTTTAAAGTGTGCACATACTCTTGAAAACAATGTAGCTATGTAACAATATATGATATTTTAGAACCAGCTTACTTTCTTTCCTTTTTAGATAATGTGTCATCCATCCACCCTGATCTGTGTGTGTACAGTCATATTTAAGTATTATTTTCTTCTCTGGTACAGTTTTTTTTTAAAGAATGTAGTTTTGAGTTGGAGATTCAGGAATTAGGGATATTTTTGTATGTGCAACACCCACTCTCCTGAGACTATTAGATAGAGTATGTCCTTCTGATCTGGAAAATCAGTTGGGGAAAATTGTCTTGTGTACTTTTAATTTTTATGAATGTCCTTCTTCCATCATCTTTGCTCTTTCTTACAGTACTTGTACATGCAGGTTATGATGTAGAACCAATTGTTCTTGTGTCTTTTTTTCTTGTAACTTATATCTGTGTATCATTTCCTAAACTATAGAGAATACCTAGGCGAATTGGGTTTTTAATGCTTCTTATTCTGTTTTTTTATATCTTGGCATTTTCGGTGACATACAGTTTTCATTTATTAGACTTTCTTGTTTTGAACTACTTTTTTCATGAGAGTCTGTTTTACCAACAGGGTAGCCTCTTGAATCTTACCACCCAGTCAGAATTATTTATTTTTTTAAAAAATTGTAACTCCACTATATTCTGTATGTTGTGTTATGCAGAACATTTGGTTTAAGAAGCACCACTTTTGAGATATTTTTGGTTATTTGATAATTTTTCATTGTTTACTTATACTTTTTAGAGTATTTTAATGGAGGGTGACTGTATGGGTTAACCCCTCCTACCCATCTTGGTGGGTTTTCTTTCCTTGTGCCTCTTGGCAGTGGGTCATGGCACAGTGGCATGTGAAGGACACATCACTGAACATTTCATAATTTTTGGTATGTTATTTTTTTTCCTTGTAGTCAATGGAAATATTTCAGTTGAAATTAGAAGAAGCTGAAAAAACTGCATCCAAAAATGAAGATTCTAGACAAGAACGATGGAGGAAACCAACGTATTCAGATAAAGTACAAAATAGTCAAGAAAAAAAATTAGACTTAGTAAAATATAATAAAAGTTCAAGAGATAAGTGTGGTACAACAGAGATTGCAGATAGTACCAATAATGATAAATTTAGGGGTAGTGAAAGAGACAGGAGATATGAGTCTTTAGAATCACATAGAAGAGAATTCAGTCCAAAGCAAAATCAAGAGTTCACTTCTCCGGGAAATTTGAGGCCTAAATTCTTAAGACCATCTGATGATGATGAACCGTCCTCTCATAGCAAGGCTAGAGATTTTGAGCCATGTAGTTCATCAACATTAGTAGCTCAGGGTTCTTTGCAGTGTGGTTTCCGAAAACCCATGGAAAACATTGAAGAAAGATTGACATTTTGGAGTGGATCTGATGGGAGAGGAGACAAGAAACATTCAAGTAAAAAGCCATTGGAAACAATTAGCAGTGCTGATTCTCGACACATTCGTAGAGACATGGGAGAAAAATTACCAGCTGAGAATGTGAGAGATAACCCTCCAACGAGAGAACATTTGCCGGCCCCAAAGTCTACATTTGCTGGGTATTTTATTATTTGTTTTTTAAACCAATAAATCACTATTTAGATCATGAAGATTCAAAGAAATGACCTTCATTAGACTTATCTGTTATTAGTTCTATTTCTTAAAATTGATAGACTACAAAAAATAAGATATGTAGTTTTTTTTGGTACCAGGGATCAAACTCAGGACCTCTCACTTGCCAGGCAGGTGCTGTGCCACTGAACTACACCCCCAGCCCAAGATAACGCAGTTTTACTAATATAATCCAACAGTTTCATTTTATGGATTGCATTTTATTTTACAGTTTTATTTAACAAAGAGCTAAAAGAATTCAGTAGCTATATATATATTTTTGGTACTGGAGATCTAACTCGGGACGTTGCACTTGCGAGGCCAGTGGCAGAACCACTGAGCTAAATCCCTGGCCCCACAGTAGCTGTATTTCCTCAAATTTTATTGCTGTTTACAATTTAAAAAGCTGAATGGAGCTGGGTGTGGTGGTACAGGCCTTTAATCCCAGCACTGGGTTGGGGGTTGCTGAGGCAGGAAGATTACTGCAAGTTCTAGGCTAGCCTGGCCTACTTAATGAGTTCAAGGCCAGCCTGAATGAACTGCACAGCAAGACCCTTAAGGAAACTACCCTATTGTTAAATCATAAATACTGTATGTGTACAGGAGGTATAGAAAACTAAAGAGAAATTTGCTATCATAGCCCACATATGTAGTGACAAATATATGCTGGAGATCTTGTAAATGTGAATTATGGGGTAGTTTTGTAGAGAAGGAAGAATCCACTCTGAGCAGTTGATAGATTTCAAACATAACATTAGATTTATAGCTGAAATATTGGTATGATAGTGATTGTGTTAATAATTATTAGGAAAAGAGATACCGATTACTGGTTTTGTTATTGCTGTATCTGTTGTATTTATGTAGGGCTGAATCAGAAGATGAAGAAACCCAGACTGAATGGAATCAACCCTGGGAAAACTTGATTTAGCCGTAGAACTGGTCTTGTTGGAGATAGAAATAAAAAATATGTATCCAAAGAAAATGACAGCTTATACTTTGCTGATCATTAAATTATGTTAAAAGTACTACCAAATGAGTGAGACACTATGGTAATAGGTTTTAGGAAGTGTAAAAATCAATGGTAACAATAGGTATAAACATTGTGGTTTGGGATGGTGGTGTCTTTGGTAAATTGCTTTTCTTAATGACTGTCCAGAGCAGTAGTTTATAGGCACAGTGTATAATTTTCAGGAAGAGTAATCTGGCAAATTCTGGACTGCAGGATGGAGCCCCACTAAACTGGAACACTAAAGGCTTTCTTTCTTGAAAACTGGAAGTGAAATTTATTGTATTGAGTGAATGAATGTGGCAAGGATTAGAGAATGTCTGTAGCTCTGTGTATATGTAATTGCTAAATCCCCAGGCATTATTTGAGGTACGTCAGGTGGTGGACTATTTTTGCTTTCCAGTTACTGTTATCTGTAGGGTTGTCATAGCATTTAGGTAATCTATAGGTCTTGATTTCTGTGAATGTTCAAGCAGTCTTAATACTATTAGCATTCCATCTAGTTATCTTAATTGCTTCATATTTGCGTATTTTATTTAAATTGTGAGTGTCTGATAGATAATACTATAAAACAGGCATTCACCAAAAGCATTTTTTTTGTCTGAAGACAGTGTTTGTTAGTTTTGTTGATTAGGATGTTAAAGCTCTTTGCAGCTTTCCATAAATTTTGTGATTGATAGGGAATAAAAAAAAAATCTAATACTCATCTACATATATATGAAAGAAAAAGTTATCATTGAGCATATAGAGTAATGTTAAGTGAACGATGACATTAGGACCTTGAAGCATGCTTGGTAAGATTCAGAGAAAGATTGTTAGAGTCTGTTAATGTTATTTTGGGAATATGTTGAATTAAAAAAGTGCTGAAACTCTAGAGTGCTTTAGAACCAGTGAATTTTAGAATTTGGAAGAAAAATTATAGAACTAACTAGAACTGGAAGAATCACAGTCTGAGCCCTGCATTTTGCACATGTAGAAATCAGGGAATTGAGGTAATGACTTACGCAGTGTCATACACATGACTTGCACAGTGTCATGTAATTGGGATAACTAGGTTAGTGCATTAGTTATCTTCTCTGCCTCTGAGGCACAATAGCTAACACCCAGAATTTAAAGGAGAAAAGGTTTAATTTGGCTCATGATACCATGAGATTCAGTCCATGGTCAGCTGACTGCTGACATAGAAACATCATGGTGGAAGGGCCTTGTAGAGCAAAGGTGCTTAGTTCATGGAGGATGGGAAAACAATTGGGGAATAGTATTGGACAAGAAGGGGCCAGGGATCAATAAAGTACTCAAGATTATGCCTTCATGACTCACCCAGACACTTCACTAATCCCCTGGTGGCTCCCAAGCCAATCAAGTTGACACAGCTAAGCCTGTCACAGTGAATAATTAAAAAAAAAAAAAAAAGCAATTCTCTTGTAATAATTGTATGTACTTATGAGACAAGACCTTGTTGTTTACCTTAAATTCAAATTTGAGAATTAGGTGTTTTATTTGACAGGTATTTAGATAATACTTTAACCATGTCCTCAGTCAGTGATTTTTTACGAGAGATAGATATTTGATTCTACTGTGCTTACATGAGAATGGCTGTTCCTCTAATTCTTTGCTGATAGTATTGTTGAACTTTTAAAAAATCTTTGCCAAATTCATATTTGGTTGAGAAACATGTTTCTTTTGATTTTTATTTAAGTATGAGTAAAGTTAACTATACTTTTAATGTCAATGTTTATTATTTCTTGTTTATTAGTCATGTTTTTGTACTTTATGTTGTTTTTATTAGCAAGAACTCCTTATACTTGTCATGCATTATAGTTTTTTTCACCATTTGTAGTTTTCTTTTTTCCTTTTTTCACTTTTGCTTTTTAATATGATGAACTTTATCATTTTTTCTTTGTTCTTTCTGGATTTTGTGATTATCTTAAGTGGCAGGAAAATAACTGCTAGTGCTTATGTGATTAAAACTTTAAGCTTATTACTCTTAGAGAATGTATTTATATATGTTTTTATTTTGTTACAAAATATATTAGCTAAATACTTTCAGGAGTTTGACATCAAATGTAGAACTTATATTAAAAATTAATGTGATGTTATTAGGTTAGATTTTATAAATTAACTTAGTCCTTTAATATATAACAAAACCCCTTTTGATGTCATTCTTGGCAGTTTGCTGTTATAGCCCAGAAATGCAACAGAAGGATGCCAGGTTCTCAAGGCTTTCAGCATAGCGATAAGATCCCTAGGGAGGGGAGAAAATAGAATAAATAGCAAGAAAAAAATAATTAAAGAGATAACTGTGAACACTGCCAGTAGGAGAATAATTGCAGTGTACTTGAAGTTTTTGAAATGTCATTGGGTTGGAGTCCTTTTAATTACTTCTTTCTAAAAAGATTTTAGCCAATGTTTTGTGTGTGTGTGTGTGTGTGTGTTTAAAGATAGTACATTTTAGTTGGAAAATTGGAGTTGGGTTTTAGAAATTATAAAAGTGATAAAATATAGCCATAGTCTAGGGAAATGAGAAATGTAGAATAATTATAGATGTCATGGTCATGTTTCTTTCAAAGCATCTACCTAGAGAAAGTAGGGAAGAGTTTGTTCCAGTTATCTTCTTGAAACTCAGGATCAGCTGGGCATGGTAGTACCCACTTGTAATCCCAGCACTCAGGATGCTGAGGCAGGAGGATCATCATGAGTTCAAGGCCAGCCTGGGCTACATAGTGAGTTTAAGGCCAATCTGAACTACATGGTGAGACCCTGTCTCAAGAAACCAATAAAGGGTGGGGGATTTAGTTCTGGTTTCACTGCCTGCCGTGCAAGCACAAGGTCCCGAGTTCAATCCTTGGTACCAAAAAATGAAACAAAACACACACACAAAAGCAAGCAAGCAAGCAAGCAAGCATGCAAGTAAGTAAGAAAAAAAGAGACATTTGTGAGCATCAGATGGACTTTAACTACTTCATGGTCTTCCTTTGAGTGAATTAAAACTTACATCCTGAGATGTGGGGAAAAGGGGAGTTTTTCAGCAAAAGAAAGAGTAAAATAACAAAGATATGTCCTTTGGGTGAACAATAATAGAGGTTTTTGGCAACTAATCGAGAATATTGTCATTGTAAAAGAGGTAGAAGCCAGATTTCAGTCATGTAAATTATGATTACGAGTTACAAGATGGCACAGATAGGAAGCATATATGGGGATCATCTCACTTTTTCTTAAGTTCTTATATTTTAGTGACAAGGAATGAGTACTTGCTTTAGAAGAAGCTAAACATGTTAACAGTTGAGAGCTATTGGTCAATTGAACAAGATCTTGGAAGTTACTATGCGTCAGTGTGGGATCCAGTTTACTCATACAAATAGGAGGATTAGCCATGGCTAGAAAGGTTTAACAAAAGAGGAAAATGTGTCTAGAGATTATGAGTGGGAAGAGAAAAAATTTAGAAATTCTTTCTTGGTGATTTAGGTCAATGTTTTCCGATGTATAATGTCTAGAATTGGTAATTCTCTTGGTCTCATTGAGGACCACAAGGAGTTTTGTAACTTTGAGTGGCAAGATGAGGGAAGAGTATTGCAACAATTTGGTTCACATACATACAGGTATCGAAATTGAGATGGCCTCTCCTTATTCTCCTTATGGCTTTGTTATTGATTTTAGTTTATTTTTACACCCGCATTTTGAGGATCCTTCAAAACAAAATTGTTGGTCCATGTGCAGCTCATATTTCTCATAAGCAAACCAACTTTCACTCATTTTCAAATTTGAAAAAAACTGTCTGGATCAGTATAAGAAGGAATGGAGTAAAAAGTGGTGTTTATTTTTGGATTAAAGATAGCACTTCATACCTTTAGAATGACTCATGTATTTGATCTTCCATTTATCTTATATTTTCTGAATGCTTTTATTTACTAGATCTGGTGGTATAAAAATAATTATAACAAA